CACATGAACATATGTGGTTGCTGCACAAAACAAAAGGCTACCAGACTTTCATGCTCCATCAAGTACTATGTCCAGATTGCAGCTCTTATTCCAAAAAGCATAACGGATGAGGCTTAATTACCAGCAACAATTCCACCATTATTTTTAATACCAGCAATCAACAATAAACCTCATGCCCTTTCCCTTCTGATTGCCTTCTCACTTTCCCATTAAAATCTTGAAAATACCGAAATGTATGGAACCTACAACAAATTAAAACAACAGAAAAACATAAAGCATAATCACAGAACAGAATGCTTGGGAATAACATTTGGATAATTAAAAATGTACATATTTCTCATCTATTTGATCACAAAATACAAGTTCCTTGCAACCAGTTTAAGGAGTGCCTAGAACTGAACCAAACCTCATAAACACTGGATATAATTCATGCAGATAGAATGCCTATCTTCAGCTATGCAGATAAGCAGCAATGCAGCCAAAGCACAATATGCCCAAAGCTGTGCAGCATATGGACAAAAATCATGCATTCAAATTTGCTTGTGTACACAAAGTCTCATTTGTTTCATTTTTAAACCTCTAAAGACCTAGTATGAAACTAACTCTGTTAAACCGCTGTGAGTCCCCTTCGGGATGAGAAGGGCAGCATATAAATGTCGTAAATAAATAAATAAATAAATAAATTTCTTGACCTCCAGGTGTAAGAAAACCTTCCTATTCCACTTTCTTCTATTTTTGAATTTTATGAATCTCAAGGAATTTCCCTCCTGAATATGCAGAAATTTGCAAATTTCAACCAATCATTCAAAAATGAATTGAAACAAAAAAATTATCCATATGACCAGACCAAACTCAACAGGTACAACTAACTCAATATAGAAAGCATCATAGGTGAAGGTTTCCCCTTGACATTAAGTCTAATCATGTCTGACTCTGGGAGGTGGTGCTCATCTCCATTTCTAAGTCGAAGAGCTGGCGTTCCCCATAGACGGCTCCAAGGTCATGTGGCCAGCATGACTGTATGGTTGGCAGAAGCTGGGACTAACAGTGGGAGCTCCCCCCGCTCCCCAGATTCAAACCACTGGCCTTTCAGTAGCTCAGCGGTTTAACTCACTGCACCACCAGGGGCTGCAGAAAGCATTATGTACCTGCCTCATGTGTAGAAATAAAAAATAAGGAGAATCTCCAGAAAGCACGGTGCCTTTAAGTCACCTATTGACTTACAGCAACTCCATGAATTTCATAGTTTTTTCTTAGTGGTATTCTCTAACAGCCTCCCGTGCAAGTACTATCCAGTGCTAGCCAGCCCTGCTCAGTTTCCAAAATCAGATAGCATTTGGTCCCTTTTGGGGTATTGTTCCCTTGATTGAATATGCAGGGATTCAATTCCAGGCTTTTAAAAATGAAAAATTAGTCTAAGTATAGTTCAATGTTCCCACATTCAATTTTTAAAAGAATCTCAAGTTGTTTCCATACCTTCCTGCAAAATGTGGCAAATTCTTACCGAAAAGGAAAGGAAATTCTCCCCCATTCCCACTGATCTTTCACAACAGGTGTTGGCTGAGCAAGTGGCTCCCCCTGTTGACCAAACCTTTCATGAGGCGCATACAAGAGAGAGGGCAAAAAAGGTTGCTCTTTGTCCTTGCTTCTCTGAGACCTCCTGCAGCAGGTAATGCTCTCATCTCCCTCCTATTGTAACACTGATAAACACTGCAGCACATCCCAAAGGCCATACTGTGATAGCATCTTAATTACACCAAGATATTATACCAACCCAAAAGACACAATATTCTCCATAAGAAGCCAATATTTTGAGAACCACTGATGTTTCGCAATATGGCTGAATGGCTAAACATGCAGAAGTTCAGAAATGTATCAGATGGAACCAAGATTTGCCTCAAAAGACAGAATGTTACATACAACAAAAGAAGCTTGATCAGAACATTTTTTTTAAAAAATGAAAGAAGCTAATTATTTGCCTCAAGAGATACATAACAAACAGAAACAGAAATGCTGGACCACTCTAACAACTACCATGTCACACTACACAGAGAAGCCATTGAGATCCACAAGCATGTGAACTATTTCAACGGAAAGGAGGAAACCATGAAAATGAACAAAATCTGGTTACCAGTATTAAAGAACTCTAAAATCAGGACAGTAAATAAAGAGCAACACCCAAAAAGCAGGGGTATTCCAGACAAGAATCAATCATGACAAGCTAACACCTCCTAACAAAGGATTCCCTCAGGCAGGAAGCAACCAGTCTTTGAAGCTGCAAGGCCATTAAATGCTAATCAAGGTGGCTATTTGCAACATTCACACCTGCCTCAAGCAGAAAAGACGAGATGCAGCGCTAACCTTAAGAAATTGGGCTACTAAGTGGAGCCCACAACATGCGAGTGTGGAGAAGAGCAAACCACAGACCACCTACTGCAATGCAACCTGAGCTCTGCTACATGCACAATGAAGGACCTTTTCACAGCAACACCAGAGGCACTCCAAGTGGCCAGCTTCTAGTCAAAGGACATTTAGTAAAATGCCAAGTTTTTAAACTCTGCTTGTGTTTTTAAATACATGCTAACTGTACCCTCAACCCACAATAAATAAAATGAAATATTTGCAACATTTGCACCTGCCTCAAGCAGGCAGGAGTTCTTTCTCCCATCCTTGACATTCCACAGATATATAAACCTCACTTGTCTAGTTTCCAACAGACCTCACAACCTTTGAGGGTACCTGTCATAGATGTAGGTGGAATATCAGGAGAGAATGCTTCTGGAACATGGCCATACAGCCTGGAAAACTCACAGCAACCCAGTGATTCTGACCATGAAAACCTTTGACAACACAGAAACAGAATTGCCAGGTGTCTTAAACATATAACAAGGAGACAGGTCTGTAAATCAATGGTTTTTCTAGAGCTACATTAAAAAAATATGATCATAAAAAGAATGGAACTGAAGCGCATGCTGTTGCTCTTTTCCAAATGAAATGTAGGAGGTCCAGGTAACACTGAATAGCGAGATACAAAGGAGCCCTTTAGCCATCTGCACAGGCACTGGCAAGTCCCACAGGCCAGGCTCCCAGCCCAAGGCTTCACCTTGAACCAGCTGTACCTGTCTGCATCTGTCTCCTCACACTCACCTCCATCAAACCAATCTTTGCAGAGTGTTGCCTGGGCTCTCAACCAGGACTGCAGCACCCACAACTGGCACTGCTTGTATTACCAGCACTTTCCCTATGTTCAGCAGTGCTGCCTAGGCTGGCAGAAAGTGAGGAGATACCATGTCTTCTCACCAGCCTGGAATGAGTTGTGGCAATTATCTCGGAAAAGTATGGTGGAATAGGAGCAAAAGTTGTTAGCCAGGGTTAATGTCCCACTGGGGCTAGGATGGGGAGATGGGGCTAGGATGGGGAGATAGGTAAGACTACCATCACTTTGGAATTTCACCTTTCCAACAAAGGCTCTGTAGGGTGGTGCTCATCTCCATTTCCAAGCCGAAGAGCCGGCATTGTCCATAGACATCTCCAAGGTCATGTGGCCAGTATGACTGCATGGAGCGCTGTTACCTTCCCGCAGAAGCGGTACCTATTGATCTACTCATATTTGCAAGTTTTCGAACTGCTAGGTTGGCAGAAGCAGGGGTTAACAATGGGAGCCATGCTCCCCAGATATGAACCACTGACCTTTTGCTCTGCAAGTTCAGAAGCTCAGCAGTTTAACCCGCTGCACCACCGGGGGCTCCTTTTGAACTGCTAGGTTGGCAGAAGCTGAGGCTAACAACAGGCGTTTGGGTCCTTTAGGTCAGTAGGTCAGCAGTTTAAGCCACTCTGCCACAAGGAAAACAAAACAAAAAAACCCCACCAAAACACATCCATCATCATTTCACCTTTCCAAATCCCTTTGGAAGCCCCTCTTTTGTCCAACCAATGTCTGAAGAAGCGCTTTCCTGCCTGCATTATTACTTCCATCCTCCCAAAGTATGGACCTTCCTGCCCCTCTTTTGTCCAAGAGCCAGGCATGTAGCGGGGGGGGGGGGGGCTCGGGGGCTTCACCCCCCCCCCCGAAATTTTCATGGTGGTTCGCGAAAAGGCCTTATTGGTGCATTATTTAAACTGTTATGTTATTCATATCATGATCTGATCACCATACTCAATATATCCCATATGCATGGGGGTATTGGGGTAATGATACAAAAGGTTTGCTAGGCTAGACCCTCTTTCACTCAGACTCAGCCCCCCCCACGAAACTCAGCCCCCCCCAAGCCCCCCCCTTGAAAAAAATTCACCCCCCCCCCCCCCCCCCCCGAAATGAAATCCTGGCTACGGGCCTGCCAAGAGCTCTCATGACTTCTGTAATCTCTCCTATCCCGGTTCCGTAAGAGGGTTCACACGCTCCCAAAAGACGCGGGAAACAGACAGGTCAGGCTGCGCGGTGCGCGCGTGGGCATCGTGGTGAGCGCGCACGGAGGGGGATGTAAACAGACAACCACCCCCCCCCAAATGAAAGGGGTGAAAGGGAAAGGAAGGGGTGCCGAGAGCGACCGCTCGGCGGGTGGCTCCGGCCCACCCGCCTGCCTGCCCGCCCATTCGGTGTAGAGGGCGCCCGGGGAGACTGAGGTGAGGTGGAGAGAGCCACTTGCCGTGTCCCCGCCACGACCCCCACGCTCCCTGAGAGCCACTCCGCAGACCTGGCAGGGCGGACCGGGCGCGCACACAGGAGGCGGCTCTCCTTCCGCAAATCTCCCTTCGGCCCAAGAGCGGCCCCCAAGGGAGAAGCCTGGCCGTGCCTCGGGAGCCTGGCGTGGGCCAAGCAAGCGCCTCGGGCTTCTCTCTTCTCTTCTCTCCCCTTCCTCCTCCTCCTCTTCCTCCGGGGTCTTCCTTCCCGCCCCTCGCTCTGCCAGGGATGCGCGCTCGCGGCTCCCGCTGCGGCTCCCGCTGCTTTGGCCCGGCCGCCTTTCCCTCGGCCTCCCCCGGCCACCCACATACCTACCTACCTCTGCCTCAGGTACTGAAGGGGCTGCGGGGAGAGACGGAGACCCGCGCCACCGACAGCAGCAGGAGCAGCAGGAGCAGCAGGAGCAAGAGCAGCAGCTTCAAGGCCGGGAGAGACTGGCAGGAAGGAGGTGTGGGCGCGCGCCCTTCATAGTCTTACCTACTGCAAAGCCCCCCCCTCCCCTCCTTCCCTCCCCGCACAGCTCGCGCCTGCTCTCCCTCCTCCTCCCAGTCCCCTCCCCCTCCCCCCTCTTCCCGGCTCTCATCTCACTGCTGCAGAGCCGCCACAGACTCCGCAGAGCTCTGGGAAGGAAGGAGGAAGGAAGGAAGGAAGGAAGGAAGGAAGGAAGGAAGGAAGGAAGGAAGGAAGGAAGGAAGGAAGGAAGGAAGAAGGAAGGAAGGAAGGAAGGAAGGAAGGAAGGAAGGAAAGGAAAGGAAAGGAAAGGAGGGAGGGAGGAAGAAGGAGGGAGGGAGGGAGGGAGGGAGAAAGGAAGAAAGAAGGAAGTGTGGGAGGAAGAGAGAAGGAAAGAAGGGAAGGAGGAGGGAGGGAGGAAAAAGGGAAGGAGGGAGTGAGAAGGAAGGAAAGGAGGGAAGAAGAAAGGAGGGAAGAAGGGAGGGAAGGAGAAGGGAGGAAGGAAGGAAGGAAGGAAAGAAGGGAGGGAGGAGGGAGAGAGGAATAAGGAAGGGAGGGAGGAGGAAGGGAGGGAGTGAGAAGGAAGGAAAGGAGGGAAGGAGGAAGAAGGGAGGGAGGGAGAAGGAAGGGAGGGAGGAGGGAGGAAAAAGAAGGGAGGAAAAGAAGGAAGGGAGAGGAAGGAAGAAGGAGGGAGGGAAAAGGAGGAAGGAAGAAGGGAAGAAGAAAGAAGGGAGGAAAGACGGGAGGGAGGAATAAGGAAGGGAGGAAGAAGGGAAGGAGGAAGAAGGGGGGAGGGAAAAGGAAGGAAAGAAGGAAGGAAGGGGGAGGGAAGGAGGAAGGAAGAAAGGAAGGAAGGAAGAGCCACTGCGCCACCCGCTGCGGCTTGCAGGAAAGCCCCCACCGCCGGCCTCGGGACCCTCCCCCACCCACCGAGCCATTTCCGCGGTCTGAAGGGCGCCTGCGGGGAAAGCAGAGGCTCTCCGGCCGCACAGGCAGGCAGGAGGCCTCGGTATCCGCTCCTCTTAGGTCGGTAGCGCCGGAGCGGGCTAGACCATTAATGGTCAGGAGCTCACTCTGACCTGGGCTGGCTTTGAACTCATGACCTCTCGGTCAGTAGTGATTTAATGCAGCTGGTGATATGGTTGGGAGGAAAAGGCCTTTCCCCGTTGCCCCTTCCAAACTCCCTGGGTTGTGTTCTGTCTCTCAAGATGTGACCCATATTGGAGAGCGTGCGAGGCTGGAGCGGAGCCCACAGCAGCGAGTCCCTTCAAGGTGTGGGGGTTCTGTGTGGGAAGTTTGGCCCGTTTCTATCATTGATGGGGTTCAGACTGCTCTTTGATTGTAGGTGAACTATAAATCTCAGCAACTACAACTCTCAAATACAAAGGTCTATTTCCCCCCAAACTCCAACAGTGTTCACATTTGGGCCTATTGAGGATTTGTGCCAAGTTTGGTCCAGATCCATCATTGTTTAAAATCCACAGTATTATCTGAATGGAGGTGAACTACAACACCAAAACTCAAGGTCAATGCCCACCAAACCCTTCCAGTATTTTCTGTTGATCATGGGCCATTTGCGTGGGAAGTTTAGCCCAATTCTATCATTGGTAGGGTTCAGAATGCTCTTTGATTGTACCTGAATTATAAATCCCAGCAACTACAATTCCCAAATACAAGGGTCTATTTCCCCCAAACTCCACCAGTGTTCACATTTGGGCCTATTGAATATTCATGCCAAGTTTGGTCCAGATCCATCATTGTTTGAATCCACAGTGTTCTCTGGGTATAGGTGAACTACAACTCCAAAACTCAAGGTCAATGCCCACCAAACCCTTCCACCTCTGTTGATCATGGGGGTTTTGTGTGGGAAGTGCAGCCCAACTTTTACATTGGTGGGGTTCAGAATGTTCCTTGATTGTAGGTGAACTATAAATCCCAGGAACTACAACTCCCAAATGACAAAATCACACACACACACCCCAACCCCACTAGTATTCCGATTTGGGCATATCGGGTATTTGTGTCAAATGTGGTCCAGTGAATGAAAATACATCCTGTATATCAGATATTTACATGACAATTCATCACAGTGGCAAAGGAAATAATGCTATGACCACAACAGGAGGAAGTGTATTAAGGGGTGGCGGCTTTCGCCCCCCAGGGAAGGGCTGGCTGCTTGGCTGGCGGCGACAGCGGCTCTCTCTGCCCACGTCCCGCGTGAACACCGCTCTCCCCAGATCTCTGTCTCTTCAGCTCAGGGATGGGATTGACAGGCAGCTTTTCAAAGGCCGCCCACGCACACGCTCCGCACACACATGGTCACACACACACATACACACCCCACGGGCGCACACACTTCCCTGAAAGAGCCAGGGAGGAAGCCGGCGCGAGTGGCATGGGAAACATGAATGAAATATTAAAGCTGCAGAAGTGGCCAGGAGCAAAAGGCGAGCAGCAAGACCCGGCCTGGAGTGAACTTGGTGGCGGAATGGAGCCGAGGCAGCCTGACTCCCTCCCCAGAGAACAGCAGCATCATTTTGGAGCTCTCCCTTTCAGGAAGCAGCAGCCTCCCTGGAAGAAGTTTCCCCCCACCTCATATTTTCAAATTGTTTTTCACTCAAGAGAAATACATAGATAGCACCCAGTTTTGAGGCAGCACACAGGCAATGTGTTCATAAGTAGAGTCAGTTCCAAGCCACAACAAAAGTGTCTAATGCAGGCATGGGCAAACTTGGACCCTCCAGGTGTTTTGGACTTCAACTCCCACCATTCCTAACAGCCTCAGGCCCTTTCCTTTTCCCCCTCAGCCACTTAAGGGTCCAAGTTTGCCCAAGCTTGGTCTAACACAGAGATCCCCACCACTGTTTGTTTGTTTGTTTACAGTATTTCTATCCCACTTTTCTCAGCCCGAAGGCGACTCAAGGCAGCATACAAAATGGCAGCAATTCAATGCCATAACAATCTAAAATAATACAATTACGAACATTTAAAACAACATTATAAAATCCATACACAAAACTATTAATAGCCAACGTCTTCCTGTTAATGACATTTTCCAATAGCAATGTCTGAGCCGTTCTATGTTTCAGTCCTACAAAATCCATGTTTTTCTATTGCTTGTTTGAAGAGCCAGGTTTTTACTCCCCCCCCCCCCCAAAGTCAGAAGGGAGGGTCTAATATTCTAATATTCTAATAATCTAATATTCCTAGGGAGGGAGTTCCAAGGCCGAGGGGCCACCACTGAGAAGGCCCTGTCTCTCGTTCCCGCCAAACACGCCTGCAAAGAAGGTGGGATCAAGAGCAGGGCCTCCCCAGATGATGTTAATTTCCTAGATGGTTTATGTATCAACATATAACAATGGCTAGCCTTTAGTCCAGTGGTTCTCAACCTGTGGGTCCCCAGATGTTTTGGTCTTCAACTCCCTGAAATTCTAAGAGCTGGTAAACTGGTTGGGATTTCTGGGAGTTGTAGGCCAAAACACCTGGGGACCCACAGGTCGAGAACCACTGCTTTAGCCTTTTTCACATGACCCAAAAAAGACACCACATGCTATCCACTTTCAAGGGCTTGCTAAAAACAAACTAATGATAAGCATGGTCATAAATGGGTTAAGCCTTCATGCCAGCAGGACTGCTGACTGAAAGGTCGGAGGTTCAAATCCGAGGAGCGGGATGAGCTCCCAGCTGTCAGCTTCAGCTTCTCATGTGGGCACATGAGAGAAGCCTTCCACAGGATGGTAAAACATCTGGGTGCCCCCTGGGCAACGTCCTTGCAGACAGCCAGTTTTCTCACAGCATAAGTGATTTGCAGTTTCTCAAGTTGCTCCTCACACACGCACACAAATGTGAAAAAATATTGCAGAGACAGAGATGTTATCTTGCACTTTATTTTGTTTGAAAAGGACTATATACGAAGTAAGTAGGTAAGCTACTATACGTTTAAACCCTTCCAAAACTAGTCTTCCATGTCAAAAGAGAGACGAATTGGTCCTGAGATTTTCTGTGTGCTTGCCAAAGTTCTGAACCTGTTCTGGAGATACATTTCAGCAACTTGGATAGCTCCAGGCATCTTAGTAAAGCAGAATTGTTCAAATCCAGGTATCACTAGTTAAAAACATCAGGCTGTTGGGGAAAGTCTCTTCCTGATACCTTGGAGAACTTACGCCCTGCCAGAATATAGCAAATACTAGTAATAGTAGTATGATACAGGCTTAAGTGGATTAAACTGGGGTGGCGAGGGGGGAAGAGATACTTCTGAATTGGTATCTATAGTATTGCATTGCTAGATGGGTAAATAGTTTGACATGTTATAAGGCAACGTTCTGTGTATAGTTAAAGAGAAATGTGTTACTATGTTGGTATTAATATTCCAGTGTCTAAAACACTTGGATTGAAATGCACATTTGCCACAACAAATCCAATCAACTACATGGCCGGAGTAAAGGTAAATGTTTCCCCTTGACATTATGTCATAGCTGACTCCCGGGGGGTGGTGCTCATTTCCATTTCTAAGCTGAAGAGCTGGCTTTGTCAGTAGACACCTCCTAGGTCATGTGGCCAGCATGACTGCATGGAGCACCATTACCTTCCTGCAGAAGTGGTATCTATTGAATGATTTCAATGCTGGGGATCATCCCTCACCCCGGATTCAAGCTGCTGACCTTTTGGTCAGCAAGTTCAACAGCTCGGCGGTTTAACCTGCTGTGCCATAATAGGCTAAATCCCCCATGTCCTAAAGTAACTCAAGTCATAGTGGTTTTAAAGCAATTGTAGACTAAGCCTATGAAATGTTATAAGCATTCCCGAAGTAGAAACTCATGCTTAAATATTTTGAGTAGTGGCAGTATTTTATCCGGAACTGTCATTATTTTTACTCTTCTGCTATTATGTAGAGTATAAGTTGTACCCCATAGGCTGTAATCAACATTCCACTTAAATAAATGGCAAAATTCTGGTTAATTTTAATTAAGGCTGCAAGCATCGATGTGATTAATCAGCAAAACCTTTAATCACACATTAAAATTTTACTCTGTTTAAGTAGTAGGCTTGGCTAGAAAGCAGAGGCCATG